TGATGGGAACAACACTGGGCAGTTTGGGCCTGACCCAGAGTCCACTGAAATCAATGGGATTCTTGCCATTGCTTTCAATAGGCTTCGGATCAGGTACTTTGTGCCCGTTTATCTTTGATATTGATTGGTTTGGGGGAGGAGGGGAGGGAGGAAGATATGAAATTTGGCAAATAAGGCCAGACCCTGTAAGGTGCTCTAGTTTTCATGAAATTCAGAGCTCAAAGGTATAAACTAAGGCAGATACAAATGACTTCTCAGCTTTAGAACTGACAGCATAGTTACGTACATGACATCTCCTTGACGAGACAGTTTTGGATTAAAGAAATAGTAGTATATTAGTATAAAATAGAGTGACATGCATTCTCTGGCTGCAATCTTGGCCCTACTGAAGTCAACGGCAAAATTCCTACTGATGTCAATTGAGCTGGGATTTCACTCTCTATATATGCTGGGGAGAGGAAAGGTTAGATGGATTTAGAACTGGTTTTCAGAGGAAATACTAAAGCCCTAGTACTTTCCAGCCACAACATCTACCTGGTATGGAAGACCTGATTGTCAGGGTAGAGGGAGGCAGGATACAGGGAATCTCTGCAGGGGTCCATGCCCCACTGGTCATGGATCACAGTTCCAGAGGAACACATTGTGCTGCATTATGGAGAGGGTTTGGAATGGGACAAAGGCAAGTGATTCTCAACTACATTAATTCACTAGCTAATCAACCTGTAAAGAGGGCATGAGTACCCACAGCATCTATGTACCCCATGGACCTCCTCAGCAAACATTTCTCAACAGCTAAGATAATAGGCTGACCAGTGGGTTCAGTATTCTGTCCTAGGAGGGTGTGTGAGGGGGAGAAGAAATCCTATTTTCTTATTTTAGTTGGCAGAAAACTGAGATTAAAGGTAGACAGACCAGGTAACAATATCTAGAGGGCTTGATATAATTTCCATTGACTTTAGTGGTTATTGAATCAGGTCCAAGTTTGGATCCGGCCCCTGGTTAAAGTGGGACCAATGTTTCCATTCTAAGGGATAATTTTCAGTTGCTTATAATATTTTCAATCTTTTTTCCTTCCTGGCTGAAATCTGTCAGATTCGTTCTCAGTCTAGGAGAGAATGTTTTCTGGAATGTTGGAGTCAAAAAGGTTCAGTCATTTTCATGGAGAAAGTGACAAATTGCATTTTTCCCAGTATAATTTCTTTTGCAGCAGTCATTGAGAGCTGGGCTCATAATGCTGGATATTGAGTTTATGTCCTGTAGTAATTTCATGAAAGTAATTGTGATGTCATGCATTTGTGACACTCAAGAGGGAATTTAGAGTGGTTATAATATGAGAACAAATGGCTTCAAAGCAGGCATCAAAAGAAGGAGCGAGACAGTGAGGGTCTAGAACCTCCCTCTACTTTGTATAAATATCGTTGATGATGATCAAAAAAGAATAAATAAATAAAAACAGATGCATGAAAAGTAAATGGATTTAGAGGGTGGGATTTTCAGACATGCTCAGTGCCAGTCTAGTGAAATCAGTGGCAAAACTCCCCTAGACTTCAGTGGGAGCTAGGGTGACCAGACAGCAAGTGTGAAAAATCAGGACAGAGGGTGGGGGAATAATTCGAGCCTATATAAGAAAAAGCCCCAAATATCGGGACTATCCCTATAAAATCGGGACATCAGGTCACCCTAGTGGGAGCAGACTTACAAAAAGCACTCAGTGTTGGCCTATTTAAATACGCCAGCTTTTTGTTTGTCTTCTCTGTATGAAAGTGTCTAAGTTACAAAATTTGAAAGGAAGTTGAACAAAGCCCCTTGCCAAACCAGCTAACAACAAAGCGAATAAACTGATCGTGATAAGTATTAAAGGTTCAGTCGCTGACACACTTCATGAACATTATGAGATATCACCAACTGGCTGGAGATAATCAGTGGCCCACACATTCTGTCTTCTGTACAAAGATGACATGCAAATCGAAACAATTTCAGCCTCAGGGGCAACTTTGAACTATTTACCAAAACATTGTTCAATTTATTAATTGTTAACAAAACTGCCTTGGGCAAATTGGAAAATGATATGAAAAATTAAAGTTGGTGTGTTTTCACATGCTAATTTTGCTGAGGTCAGCCAGTCCAGGTTTTCTGATTATCTTATACTAAAGGGAATTATTTTAATGTGTAGAGTCATTGACATGTTCAGGCTAATTTATAAAATGTTACTATCATTGGATAACAGTTTAGCAGAGTTTTATATGCATTTTTTATAGTTATTAATTGCCAAGATAGCTGTGCTTGTGTATGTATATATAAAATAGAAATTTTTTCTTTAATCAGCCAGATATTTTCCCTTGAGTCATATTTTCCTTTGATTAGTGATATCACAAAGCCAAAATTCCATGGATTAAATTCAGCTCTGGTGTAGGTGGGTACAACATCTATTTACTTCAGTGGAGATGCAATTACTTACGCCACAGGTTAATTTGTGTTTGTGATTTAACAAACATTGAATTGTACACTCTAGTAGATAGACTTTACGCAGGCAAGTGAGGGTGGGAGGTAGAAGATAGAACAGAATCATATTCCCTCCTGCTGCAGTAGCCTCCAGAGGCAGAACACACACCCTTACACATCTTATGGAAAGGGGCTGGGTGATGGATTCACATACTCACAGGATTATTAGTCAGGGCCTGCCTCACCTGTTCTTTCCTCTGCTCCTGTTGCGGGGTGGAGGTGAAGCCCCTTATCTATAGCTGGTTGGGAATTTTCTGGTGAAAAGTCTGTCAAACCTGAAATGCTTCATGGGAACATCATGGGTTCAACAAGGTTTTGTTGAATGACAGGCAGGGATCCATCAGAAACTTGCCTGGTTTCCTCGAAGGTTGCTGGGGGGTGAGGTTTCCAGGGTCCCCAGTCCCACTGTACAGACTGCACTGAGGCCAAGGATCCCAGGGCATCTAAGGTCAATGGCTTCAGGGCAGCCCCACTATACCGACTGACCCAGGGCTGGAGATCCAGGCTTCTAGTGTCTGAGACTTCAGGGTAGAGCAGCCATGTCAGGGCTCACAGGCTCCCTGCCATGGAACTGAGAGCCTGGTGACCCTGGAAGTCCTACCCCTAGTGAGGACATGGCTCCCACAGCAGGCAGCCTGGAAGCTCCAGATGGAGCCAGGGCTCTCATGGCTGCTAGGCTTCCTGCTTCACAGGTGTCCAGGCAGCCAGCCGCTCAGTTTCCTTTGATAACAATTCAATTTTTTAAAACCATTGTTTGTGAAATTTCCTGTTAGTGGGAAATTTCAAAAATTCAAAACAAAGTTCTGAAATGGAACAAAAACCTATTTTGAAATATCAGAATTTCTACTAGAACAGAAATTCCAAGTTTCAACCAGTTGTACTCTTACCTAACTCTCTGCACTCCCCCTCCCTCTCTCTCTCTCACCATCCCCCATGGAACCACTTTCAGGTCGTTACGCAATACTTAATTTGGCCACAGGATTTTGACCTAATTGAAAATCTCATTTTATTTTTGTTTAGTGCCAATACTTTCTGGTCTTGGACATTTGGGGAAAATTTTCAGAAATGGTGATTTAGGAGTTGTTTTCAAAAGACACTGAAGTACCTAAGAGACTGAATCTCATTTTAAGTCAGTGGGACTTAGGCCTGGTTTTCAAAGGTATTTATGCACATAAATATGCAGATAGGCCCCAACTTGGATTTCATTGGGAGTTAGGTGCTTGCATAGTTAAAGTGCTTCTGAAAATTCATCTATCTGCATCTTTAGGCTCCAATTGCCCTTGGAAATCTGGCCGTTAAGTGCCTAAATCATTTTTGAAAATGGGACTTAGGCATTTTTGAAAATTTTGCCTTTTGACACTGTATCTTTGCCAGAGATACTATATATGGGAGAACTTCTGATGTGCCTCTGAGGCCTGGTCTACATGGGAAAGTTGCATTGGTTTAATTTAAATTGATTTTTAAACTGATATAGTTAAACTAATGCAATTTCTCCCCCCTCTCCCATGGACACTCTTATTTTGGTTTAAAAGTGCCTTATATTTTGTAAAAAGAAAAGGAGTACTTGTGGCACCTTAGAGACTAACAAATTTATTTGAGCATCTCACAAAAGCTTATGCTCAAATAAATTTGTTAGTCTCTAAGGTGCCCCAAGTACTCCTTTTCTTTTTGCGGATACAGACTAACACAGCTGCTACTCTGAAACCTTATATTTAGTGTAACTTAAACTTGTTCCCTGTCAATTTAGGCTAAATCAAGGAAAGATACTCTTATCCTGAAATAAGTATGTCCACACAGGGCTTTGTACCAATTTAACTATATCCGTTTCTGTCATAGGTTACACCAGAGAAACTCTCTCAGGTAGACAAGACCTAACTGTAATTAATTGTGATCCATGTTGATCAAACTAAGAATGGCAACCACAGTAAATAGACAAGAACTCTGTTTAGATTCAGAAGAGAGGTAACTTATCCATTATGTCAGCACGAGTACTATCAACAACCAGTATAGTAAAATATTTTCATTACCAGAAGCATAGAAAAAAGAAGAAAGGGAGATTTATTTCCAACTGTGAAGTCATTTTCTGGCAAACCTTAGCAAAACTTTGCCCAAGTTCATCATTGGCATAAATGCAACTGCACTGACTACAATGGAATTGAATCTGCTTACATGATGGTTGCCATCTTGGCTTACACACTGGTGATTGAACTAAGGGCCTCCAGAACTAAAAGCATGAGCTGAAAGCATGCAGCAGCTTGAAAACTCTGTAGCTGAGGGCTGTAACATACTCTATCCTCTGTTGATTGGACACAGAAGGGGACCCGTAACATACATTCACTGGTGTTTTGCACTTAAACCATTAGTGAATCTGTCCTCTTGTCTTCACAGTCACACCCTTTTTGTGGTGGGAGATATTGATCCTACCCATTCTGTAAAAAGACTAGGAACAATCAGGAAATTGACAAGAAAAAACAAATGATCATATGAAAAACGCCTACCACTAAAGCAGCACAAATAGGACCATGGATAATGTACAGCAGATGAGTTTCAGAACTGATCCAGCAGCTGTGGAGAAAATGGGAAGAATAAACATTTGGGCTTTTTATTAATTATCATCTCTCCTTGAAAGAAAATGGTACATTTTTAGAAACAAAAACTGAGATTTTACTTACTTGTCATTGAAATACAGACTTCTCGCTATAGCGTGTATGCAGGCAGGGATCAACGGGAATCCTGAGAACAGCAAATTTATAAATCAGCCTAATTCAAGGATTAATTCTGACTTCATCAAAAAAAGAACTGTTAAAGTGGCAGTGAGTAAATTTTAAACATAATGAATGAATACACATAATAAACCTGATTTCATCCTGCATGCCTCACTCAGGCACACAGATATAACTGATTTCAGGTACTTTTCGATTTGAATGAGACTTTTCCAGAGTAAGGCCTGATGTAGCAAGCATCTGTGTTGAAAAATCTAATCCTGAGTAACAGTGCAGCAAGTAAGGCTCCAATCCAGCAAAACATTTAAGCAAGTGAGTCGACCCATTGACTTTGTAAAATGAAGCACATGCTTAAAGCTCTGCTGGATGAGGGCCTCGAGTAGGAAGACAGATTGAAAATTTTAAATCAGATCAGGTAAGTTAATGTAACAACATTTTTAATCTCCTGTTTTCATTCTCACACTTGAAAATTAATGCTCATTTTTAGGCACGTTTCCGTATATCAGTGCAATTCTGTGTAGATGGCTAGACAAGCCCCCCTCTAATTCACCGGTGTTTTGCAGTATGAATAGCCATGCAATTTTACTGGTTATGTTTTGCTTGTTTTTTATGTGTTTTGTTGGTTTCTAGTACATGGAAAATAACTAGGAAGCAACTATTTGCATCAGCTGTGGGAATCTTATATTTTTTCACTTTGACCATGCTACGTACAAAACTATATAGCACTATACAGCAAAACATCATTTGATTTGCTCCAATGTATGTCCTGTCATACAGAAATGTAGTCCAGTATATTGTGTTATTACGAAATTTGAATCTGTCTATATAAATAAATCTTAGGTCAAATTGTAAACAAAAAGGCATTTTAAAAAAGTACAACTCCAACTGTACTGACATTTTCCAGACTGCAAGCTGTATTAATTCTTAACAGGATATGCATAAAAGTTCACAGTCTCAACAGGGTTAATTAAAATGACTCTAGAATCATTTTTAGTGATCTATAGTACTTGAGTTGATAAAAATAAAACTACCAGAAAAGAGATTTAAAATACTTTATTGAATCCCTAATTACCTACATTTTGAACAGTGATTTTTGGTGCCCAATCTGAGACAACGTAAAAGGGCCTGATTTTCAGAAACTTCTGAACACCTATGCTCTCAAAATCAAGCCTCTTGAATGCGTCTCAAGATGAGCAACCAAAAGCTGAAGCACACAAAATCACTAGTCACTTCAGAAAATTTTGGCCTGAAAGCTTTGTGCAAATACAGCCAGAAGCCTGAGTCCTGCCTTTTGTGAAAGTGCTATCCCACACTGCCTTAATTTGTCATGTTCAGTTTGTGGTCTTTGGTGTTTTTTTTTACGTGAGCTCTTTACCTACAGTAGTTCTCTATTTGCTTTTTGAACAATACAGGTCAAGCAGAACCTCTGGAAAAATAAATGCTTGGCCTTCCCCAATTCAGTTTTGACCCTCCTCCACCCTAGGCCTGGTGAGACATCTCAGGAAACAAACATTCATTCCTGTATAAACATCTTCAAGATGAGAAACAATGAATAATTACTTCTTATTGTCTCTTCATAGTAAGAGGCGCTTTTCTGTATGCAAAGGAGGAGTCACTTCCTGACTTCTCCAGTACATAATCTGCCTTTTAGCAAAGACAGAAGTATGTGCAGAAAGCTTTGCTAAAACAGTAAGGACATATTTAATTTCAGAGAAACAAACTTGATCTGGTATACATTGTTGAAGTACATGCGTACATAGTATTAGTTTTATAGATTTAAATTAAAAATGATGGTCTCCCCAACCCCCCACCCCCACCCCCCAAAAAAAGAAAGAAATCTTGAGGCAGCAGTTGTTTGTTTTTTTCTTTTAAAGAGAACAACCTATGGAATTACATACCCCAGCCGAGAAGATAATACCACATCAGGTGTTGTTTCTCTGCAAAGACAGCCACCACAATGAGAGTATGCAGGTAAATGCCTTCACAGAGCATCCAGAAGTAATTGCAACCCATTAAATACAGGTAAATGAACTGATATACTTTGCAACTAACCTGTGGAAAAAACAAAGAATACAGCTTGAATAGTTAGTTTGTAATGGTTCCAAGAGATTTAATGGCAAGAGGGAAGCATTACTTATTGCATCACTCTGCTTTGCTGCAAAGTTTGCTTTGATATGTGTTATTCATAACGCAGTACTCAAAAGGTGACATCCGGATGACTCCACAAAAGAGACTGTAGTTTTATTAGCTGGCTTGATTTTTGGGATGAATGCTGAAGGCTTCCAACACCACGGAGAACATAATGGACCTAGGGAAATCTTTTAAAATGATAACGTTTTCCCCTCAGAGGTTCCTCATGTTGCCAACACTGATGTAAATTAATCAATGCAGGTAAATAAAGATTCCTCAAATCTTTGTGAAAAGTATCTGATGGTAAGTAATATCTTTGAGAAGAAGATCCTTTGATTAGGCCACATTATCCTCTCAGTTACCTCTCAGTATCCTCCAGTGGAAACAGTGCATGCACTCTCCTCAGTGAAAGAAGGAGATTCACCTCCGTAATAGCTTTTTAGACTTTTTGCCCCAGTCCTCTCTACAAAACTTAATCCTAAACTTTAGAACTAAACAAAGACAGTCTAATAGGGTCTAATTTTCCTCTCACACAGTTTTGCACTGGTCTACTTCTACTATGCTACACCAATGTGAATGCTATCAAAATCAGGCCCATACACATTTATCCTACTGTAACATTACACAGGCAAGTTCCCCCACACCAGTCTGAATCTGAATCATTCCACTGAAGATGTTGGAGTTGTACCAGTAGTGTGTGTCAGGAAAGCCAGTCACTATCGATGCATTTATTTTTATTTAGTTCTGGAGCATAATCTTAAATTCTTTTGAAATAGTCCAGGCAAAATTCTAAATGGCTTAGAAACCACTACCTCTCCTGTCCACTGGAGAAAACTCATCTAAGCTTGGATTCATGGGATTGCTCAGAATAATCATTCCCTTGATAAGCTAAGCAGACAGCAGCACATGACAGAGCTATTTTAATGTATAGCTAGCCTTAGAGTAAATACCAGAAATATTATATCTAAGACCACCCAGAAGAAAAAAGATATCTACTGTATGCTAACCAGTAAATTTTCTAGTTGTTACTGCTAAGGAGTGAAATGTAAGGTTAAACCATCAGGCACCTGACTGTATCTAAATTGAAGTATTTTTGAGTATTGAAAATGACCAGCACTTTTTATGTAAGTGTTCAGAAATGAACAAGGGCTATACAATCTACCCCTCACTACGTAAGCCTCGCTAGCTGCCCTGCACTCCCATGAGACAGTGAAGTGTCATTATCCAACTTTAAAGGGGGAGGAGGGGTGGGGGTGGAACAAAAGCCACAAAGAAAGCAAATAACAGAGGCAGGTTTAGAACTCAAGACTTCTTGACTGCCAACCCCAGGACAAATTCATCCCTGGTATAACTTCGTTTAAATCATTCTTCCAGATCATACTACTTTCCTGACATTGTTTTAGTATTGTGCAAGAATACAAGAGATCTAGCTGCATGACACACAATACCAAACTGAAATCAGAAATGTAGTCCAATACTATCTATTTAATAAAGATCCATGTGATTTTGAACTCCCTTGCCTTCACAAACCTTAGCTGGCCAAACTGACCAGACATCTGTTGCATTATTTAAAGAATGAATAAATTCTTACTGCAATTCAAAAATGTTAGCTTTGATAGACATGATGTCATGAACTAATGATATCTAATTTATTAATATTTTCCATCACTAAATGTCTTTCCACACAAATCAACAGTGCAGCCAAATCCACTTTCACTTACTGGATTAGTTGCAACTAACTGCTGGTTGTTGGCAACTGCCGCCAGCCAAATTATTGTAACGATGGAGTTGCAAACAAAAGAGAAAAACAGATTTTTATGTAGGGTGATCCTTTGGCAACTCAAGCTCCTAGAAAAGAGAGACAAGAGCAAATTAATACATATGAGTTCTCAGCCTCATATTAACTATTCTGCCAACTCATTTTAAAATAATAAATTTAATTTTGTGAAAGGTAAAGATTTTCTTTATCCTTGATTTTATTTTTATTTGGCTGTATAATGCAAACCATGTGCAACACGTTTTATTATGCTTATAAGAAAAGCACTTGCTTTGGAGCAATTAGCTAAAAAAGGTCTGGAAAAACATGTTTACTTACTATTGCAAGGTGATATTTTATTCCATGCCAAATTATTTTTTTAAAAGCGTACGCCCCACCAATTATTTTCATACACAGGAAAATAGCATTTACTAAACTATTGGTCCATCTAATCCAGTATCCTTGTTCAGAATCACACAGCAAGTCCATGTTGTGGCACAGACAGGAACAGAACCGAGGTCTCCTGACCGTCAGGCTCCCTCTCTCTAAGAGCCAGGGGCCTGTGTGAGTGTGAAAAGGGAGAGAATCACCACAATAAGAATCGCCACCTCTTGCACCCTCAGTGCAGGAGCTGAGCATAATGGGAGTCCAAGTACCACGGGAGCACAAACACTCTATACGGGGTGAGCACCACTCCTAGCACTAGCCTCTGCAAAAGAGGTAGAGGAAGGGTTGCGGCCTTCGGGAAAAGTGTCACTGGAAGTCCAGGAAGCACTACAGTGGTCTAAAACTATGCCTACACTTACAGTGGCTTGTAGGGTACAGGTGCTACACCTGTAGCTACATGCGGCAGTGAAAGGTTCTAGCAGCAGGGAAAGGCTCTGGCAATGGGGTGGAATTGTGGCTACTGGAAATGTTGCAGTACAGCCCTACCCACCTACCTTCCTTTTTTGGGGGGGAGGACGGTAGCGTTAATTGACAGAGAGAAATTCTAATGGAAAAGGGAGAATCTATCACGTACAATTCCAATTACTGTTTACTGTTGTGGAGGCCAGACATCAATCAATTCACGTTAGTGAGTGCCACGTCTGAACGCATCAGGAAAGGGAGGAAAAACCGCAGCTGTCTAGTCTTTACAAACAGCACACCGAGAAAAACTAAAATCTGGACAAATATTGCTCAATATTTGAGCCAGGAAGATGATACAGATTAATATAATGTTTTCATAGCAATGTATTTACAGTATCTTTGCAAGAGTTGAGGTGCAGTGACTGGCAATCTGTTGAAGACATGCGAGACATAGGAAGAAAGGAAAAAGTTAAGTAGACAGTCACCAGTACGGTTAGATAGGTGTATTCTATGCCTGTTCAAGTCATACTGTAAAGATCTGCATTATAAAATTATGGTTATGCATTGTTCACAGTTTTTGCTCAGGCACCAGAAGGGAGTATGAAGCTTCCCACAGGTAAACAGAGCTGACCGTAGAGGAACCCGTGCCAGTAAAGGTTAAGTCTAATGTGTGGTGACACAATATTGACGCTTGCAAGCCCAGCGAGCATGTGTATAAATAGCAGTGTAGACAGTGAGGCACAACTTAGGTGAGTAGAATGCCCTACGTGACTGAACCCGAGAGTATATACCCTACACGTCTCTCTATAGTGCCTCCATGTTCTATGCAGATATTTTTAGCAGTGTAGTGTCTTGATGCCAGAGCCTTTCACTACTGTAGTGAAAGGCTTTGGCAATAGGAAAAGGCTCTAGGAGGATAGGGCGGCGGAGAATGGCTCTGGCATCTCCCTGCTGGAGCCTTTCACTACTGCATGTTGCTACACACCACAGTGGACATAGCCTGCCTTTCACTGTGGTGTGTAGCTGCATGCTATTGCAAGTGTAGACAAGGCCTAAATCATTAAGGACCAGATTGTGGAGCCCTTGTTCAAGCTGAGTACCACCTTACTCCACATGCAGTCTCAATGAAGTCAATGGGACCACACTTAAGGAGCAAGCAGCTAATTCACATGAGGAAGGATGTTAGAATCTGGTCCCAACAATTGGCAAAGGTTAATCTTCTGGAAAAAAAATTGATAGAAAAAGCACAAATCACACAATGCAGCTATGAATATGAATTAAGTTGTAAATTATATTCTATTAGGTCTTCTCTGGATATAATTTTGTTTTTGTCTTTGCGGTTTAATTTCTGAAGAACATGCAGGTTTGACTATGGATGTATATCGAAATTACTCCAGACTAGAACTAATAGTTATATGCAAAAATGAGTCATGAACAACTCTGGGACTCTGTGTCTGCTTATTGTCAAGACCTCAATGCACAGACAAGGAAAAACACATAAAACTTATGAGGATATCTGTCAGGGTCATCCAACAGCTGTTCCTGTTGAATATTCAGCACTCCCACCCCGCGCCCTCCCCCACCCATGCATGAAAGCAACATAGGACAAGAAAGCAAGACTGATGGTATTTTAAAAAGGAAGAAAACACTCTTTCAGCAATAAATAGCATTCCTTCCTAATCCTCTCCCCCTCCGCACCCCTTCTCCACACTGTTTTTGTTACTGATATAATGGTCTTTAATAATTCCTCCTCATAATTATGATCTAAGTGTCATTTAAGGGTCTACCATCAGGTTTACCTTCATGAAATAAAATTTGGTTTACATTTATCTATGGCACTCCATGAAACACATTTCTCTGATGTCTGTGGATAAGAACTACAGGGTAACATTTTCAAAAGTCCTTAAATGATGTAGGACCAGATTTTTAAAGGTATTTATGCCCCTAGAGAAGCAGACAAGTGTCTCTTGCAATTATTAAAAGCATTTAAATGAGTTGGGCCTTTGACTTTCAATGGCAATTAAGTGCCTAACTTTCTTAGGAGCTTTTTTAAAAATTCCAGTAGGAATCTGCCTTTTTAAGGTGCTAAAATACCCTTGTAAATCTGGCCCTTTGAAAGCCTAGGTTCCATTGATTTTCAATGGGATTTATGCTCCTAAATGCCTACAGCACTTTTCAAAATGGGATTTAAGCATTTTTGAAAGTTTTACCCAATAAGATATATACAAGATCAGGCAGTATCTCTGAAAATAGTCTTCCTGCCTTGTAACACAAGAACAAGGGGAAGTTCAGCGGAACTGAAAAGTGGCAACTTCAAAACTGACTTTTTTTTCTTTACACAATCATAATATGGCCCTGGAACTCACTGCCAAAAAATTAGCAAGAATCAAAAAGAGGTTGGGCATTTATATAGATAACAAGACTCTCCAGAGTTATAAGAGCTAATGCTGACATTTTTTGGGAAGGGATATAAAACCATCTGCTTTAGGATTTAAACCAATCTCTACCAGGGTTTGGCATGAGACCTTCATGAGGGACAGATTATCCAATGTCTGTCTACTATGAGGTTTCCTGCACCTTTCTTCTGAGGCATCTAGCGCTGGCCACTGTTGGAGATAGCACACTAGACAAGTCAGACCACAGGTCTGATCCAGTACAACAATGTCTCTGTTTCTAATTGATTTTCCCCCTTTCTTCCTCCAAACCCTTTCCCTCCCTCTCTGTGCCTGTTGTACTTGAAAACTGTCACTTGCCCCATCCTTTCTCCGCCCTCTCTTTATTTTAAATCTTTCTTAAGAGCTGGTTTAGCAGGTAGTTTATATGATACACAAGTAAGATGTGTGTGTGGTACTTCAATGTGGGGACACCCCCCCCCTGATTTTCTTTCACAGATCCCTTTCCAAAACGGCACCAGCTTTGTGCAGTTAGTTCACACAACACACAAGTCCAGTGTTTGTATGCTATCAGCTTAGAGCCATGGGAGAACCAGAAAGTTGAACCAGTACAAGAAGTTCTACTGGGCAGTCACAAATAGAACTTGAACCCCCCAAAGGGTCTGATTCTGTATTGAGAATCCAAAATATTTCAGTGGATTCTAAAGTCAATGAAGTGAGTTATCCAACAAAATTGTAGCTATGACAAAACTTTTCATACAGAAAATACAAAATCCGCATATCCATTGTTTCCCATCTGATATTAGCTGGCCTTCAGTTTATTCAAGTATTTTTAGTGCTGCTTGGAAAACACTTTTCTCTATGGAAAATAAAACATTTTGGTTTTTGACTGAATGAAAGCTTTTGCAGAAAGTCTACTTTCTCCAAAAGTTTTGATTTTTCAGCTGAAAATCAAAAAGTTTTAGGGTTTTGACAAAAAAGTTTAAATTTTCCGTGGAGAAAAGTATTTTCCAACCAGCATTAAAAATACTTTAATGAACTGCAGTCCAGCAGATATCATATGGGAAACAATGTTTTCACTAAAAGCATAAATACATTAGAAACACAAAATTCCAAATATGCTCCCACACAACAATAAAAAAGCACCATCTGTTAAAGCCATGAATTACCTTAACAAATATCAGCCAATACATAACACATCCTAGAATTAGGCTAGATCCTCAAACAGTTTTGTACTACTAAAAATACTATACAAGATCTGTGCATGTATCCCATCAGAACATCTTGTAGAGGCCTTTCCTCAGCTCCCTTTAAATTTTGTAATTTCCTTTTGTATCCCAGCATAACCACAGACTAGAAATTGTGGTTTGTGGGTCTGGATTTTTTCCATGTCATTCTCTAAGGATATCGGGTCTTTCTTCCAGAGAAACCATTGCCTTAGAGAATTAGACAAACATAACATTCTTACAATTTACTTCAAAAGTAGCAATGCTAACCACCTGGCTTTGCTGTAAACACTGATAGGGTTGTCACAAGCTGAGATGAAATTGACATGGATTTCTATTCCAAACAGTGAAAATCAAGCTTTAATATGACTGTCGTTTCAAATCACCTTGAAATTTGTTCAAAAATTCAATGCCCAAACATTTTTTTCACAGCATTTGATTTTCAATCTGTTAGAACGCTTTATGAGTTTTAGACCAGCAGTAAAACCCTCTCTGTGCCAAGTGAGTGTTTGCACTCACAGGTTCTTCATCAGTCTATTTTATGCAACAGTGAGCAATTAACAAAAAAGTCTCCATAATATACATAGTTCTTACTGAAGAATTACAAGCCACACTCACGTACACACAAATTTACAATTTTCATGAGAAGCAGAATAACCTGAACATTGTGGTTTAAGGTTAAGATTTCCAGAAGTGTCTAGTGGTTTTGGGTGCCCAGCTTGAAACACCACATAAGGGCCTACATTTTCAGAAAATACTGAGCACCTATCTTCTGAAAATCATAACCCTTTATGGTGTCTCATTTGGGCTCTCAGATGTTGATGCACCAAAAATTGCTAGTGAGTTTTGAAAATCTTAGTCTAAATCTTGAAAAGCATGCACCTAAATTGGAGGTTCACTGTGTTCAGTTGGATATACCTAAAAGATGGTTTTGCATATAATTGCCAGTTGCATACTGCCCTTATTGGCCTAACCCAGACCAAACAAAGTGAATAGAAGTCTTTGGGTGAGATTTTGATTAGCCCCTCTGTTTCCAATGAACTATTAGGCTATTCAGGGATAAGATAAGATATATCAAAAACTGAAAGGATAAGAGAGAAAGAGAGATTATAACTTTCAATCAGCCTGCTGAAGGTTCATATTTATCATGAAAATAACAATTAATAGGTGTAGTGTTTACTATCCTAATTAGCCCTGTTGTCTTTGATGAGATTACTCACAGTGGGAAGTCTTGCAAGGTCTAGGAACAAATTTTGAAAGAGAAAGTGATTAAGGACACAGAGGTAAACAGTAATTGGGATAAAATACAACATGGTTTTACAAAAGGTAGGTTGTGCCAGACCAACCTTATCTCCTTCATGGAGAAGATAACTGATTTCTTAGACCAAGGAAATGCAGTAGATCTAATCTACCTGAATTTCAGTAAGGCATTTGATACAGTTCTCCATGGGAAATTATTAATTACATTGGAGAAGATGGGGATTAATATGAGAATTGAAAGGTGGATAAGCAACTGATTAAAGGGAAAACCACAACATGTCATACTGAAAGGTGAACTGTCAGGGTGGAGGAAGGTTACTAGTAGAGTTCCTCAAGGATCAATCTTGGGACCAATCTTATTTAGTATTTTTATTAATGACCTTGGCACAAAAAGTAGGAATGTGTTGATAAAATTTGTGGATGAGGAGGACCAGAATATATGGAGGAGGACCAGAATATCATACAAGAAGGTCTGATGACCTTGAAAACTGGAGTATTTGAAGTAGAATGAAATTTAATAGTGCAAGGTCGTGTACTTAGGGACTAACAACAAGAATTTTTGCTGTAAGATGTGGACTTATCAGTTGGAAGCCACAGAGGAGGAGAAAGAAATGGTGTATTGGTTGATCACAGGATGACTATGAACCACCAATGTGAAAAAGGCTAAAGCAATCCTAGAAGGTATCTGGAGAGGTATTTCCAGTAGAGACAGGGAAGTGTTAATACCATTATACAAGGCAGTGGTGAGACCGCATCTGAAATCCAGTGTACAATTCTTGTTTCCCATGTTTAAGAAAGATGAATTCAAACTGGAACAGGTGCAGAGAAGAGCTACTTGGATGATCAGAGGAATAGAAAACCTACCTTTTGAGAGGAGCCTCAAACAGCTTGGCTTGTTTAACCTAACCAAAAGAAGGCTGAGAAGAGATATGATTGTCTCTATAAATACGTCAGAGGGATAAACACCAACGAGGGAGAGGAGTTATTTAAGTGAAGCACCACCATGGACACAAGAACAAATAGATATAAACTGTCCATCAATAAGTTTAGGCTTGAAATTAGACAGTTTTCTAACCATCAGAGCATTGAAGTTCTGGAACAGCTTTCCAATAAGAGTAATGGGGACAAAAAACCTAACTAATTTCAAGAATGAGATTGATAAATTTATGGAGGGGATGGTATGATGCAACTGCCAACAATGGCATGTAGCCAATCTGCAATGGCTAGTAGCAAATATCTCCAATAGCCAGTGATGGGACATTTGTTGGGGAGGGCTCCAAGTTACTACAGAGAATTCTTTCCCAGGTGTCTGGCTTCTGCATCTCGCCATATTTGGGTCTGAGAAGGAATTTTCTCCTAGGTCAGAATATCAGAGACCCTGGGATTTTTTCGCCTTCCTTTGCAGCATGAGGCATTGGTCACTTTCAGGTTTAAACTAGGGTTGTCAATTAATCACAGTTAATGCCTGTGATTAACTGAAAACAAAATTAACACATTAATTTTTTAATATGTTAATTGCATACCTCTGGGCAGGGAGGGAGGAATCTGACAGTGTCTGGTCAGGCGCAGTAACCCAAGCCATTACCAGCGGGTGGGAAGAGAACAGAAGAAGAAAGAGGAAGTGGCTCCCATTCCAGCTCCAGCAGAGAGGTAGGGATCCTGACCCCACCGTGCCCCAAAGCCCCCAGTTGGCCCCTCGCTCTGGAGACTAACCCCTGTCCCCGTGTGCCATGCCTCTTGTTCCAGGGATCAACACATTGCCCCCCACACCATTCCCCAATGCCTTTGGTCAGCTGGCATCCCATAGAGAACAGGGGCCTGGTGAGCTCAGCCTCCCTGCACTAGTATCTCCTCCCTGCCCCATGTAGAGTCCCTAAGGTAAAATCCACCCTCCCTTGCAAACAAGGTCTCGCTCAGCTGAAGGGAGCCCATCTAGATCAGTAAAAGGAGATTAACAGGAGTTTATTTGCTCTGTTTAACAGAGCGATTAAAACTGAGATTCATCATGATTATTTTTTTATTGCTTGGGAGCCCTAGTTTAAACGGTTACTAAGCCCTAGCAAATGGTGGATTCTCTGTAACTTGAAGTCTTTACATTTCAGGACTTGAATAGCTCGGCAAGAGGTTATGGGTCTATTACAGGAATGGGTGGGAGCGGTTCTGTGGCCTACAATGTGCAGGAGGTCAGACTAGATGATCATGATGGTCCCTTCTGGGCTTAAAGTCTTCTAGTCTAACTGTCTGGAGGACTGAACTCTCAGTCTATATCAGAGAGGACCATCAGAGGTCTCACAAGGTTATCATCGCAAACTCTCTCTTATTAAGAAGCATCAAGAAAGAACAAAAAATTCCATTATCAGCCAAGATGGGTGAAATCCTAGCTCTTTTGAAGTCAAAGGAAGTTTTGATATTGACTTCAATGGAGCCTTGCTTAAACCTCATGTAGTTAATATACAGCCTTTGTCATGTTATGCATAACATTTCATATATGACGTATTTAAGCTTCCTGCTCTTCATCCTAGTTTTTATATTTTAAAAAACATATGCTATTTGCCATTAGTTCCCTGATGCTCGGTGACCACATGGCATTCTATAGCAAGCAAAGGAATCAGAGAAAAGTCTGGAGGAAGTGGGAGGAGAAGCATCAGTTTTCTTCATAAAACCATTCTCTTGACAAATAGAAACTCTGGGCTCTCCATACACTCACTATACCTCATAGCGAACAATTAATCTTTGTCATTCATCTTTTTACTTTGTTTCTTATTTCAGTTAATCAAGTGAATATGCTTTACAAATCCATGTCTTATAATAGTGATAATCAGTCTTTAAAAGTTTGGATTCTTCCAGACTTGGAAGTCAGCAGAGTTCACTCAAACAATAAGAAAAAATTATTGTCGAATGAAGACTCTTCTCTAAGTAGCCACTCTCCAGTTCCATGACCTCTGTGGCTTTCTAACAGTCCTGGTAGCTCCCTCTCTTATTTTCTTTTTCAGTGTTATCTTTGTGATTGGGAAAAGAGCCATTCAAAGCTTTTTAAAACCTACTAAGAATGTTTAAAACATTATGAGGAGAGAATCCTATCTCACCCTCTCCAGCCACAGGCCTAAGACACAGTGGAGCTGATACAATTTCATCATTCAAGATCTGAGGAAGTTGCATAGGGAGTCAATATCCCATGTGCCAGAAACCTTAGTTCTGCAGGTGCTTCTTGCATGACCTAAGCAGCTAAGTTTGAAGGCTAGAATAGAAGAGGAAGGATATAGGGGTAGATGGTGTAACAGTCCACAAATCCACTGGCCATTGTTCCTCCTGGAGGCAGCCACACCATCGTGGGTGCTATTGCAGCCTCAAACTAGCAGTAGAGACTCAAAAGCAACTTTGTTGCCTCTCTTTGTTTTGGGATGGAGGAGGAGACAAACCTGGCTGCTTGGGCTTGGTGTGGAGGACAGGGATTTATCCCAAAGTATCTTTATTATTTTGAGTATCTTGCTGTTCGGTACTCACCTTCCTTTAGCTGTCGGTCTAGGAATGTCCTCTGGTCCCTCTGAACAAGCCCATTAAATGCTTTAAGATGGAGCAGTCCCATAGTGTAATAGCTGTCAACTAGTGTTTATTAGTTCATTACACTAAAGGGTCAGTTCAGCAGTACCAGAGGAGAATTTCCCAGGCTCACACCTGAAAAAACCATTGGCCAGCCAGACACCATCTGAAACTTCAGGCCAATCAGGAATAGTCAGTGATGCTTCCTTACTGTAGCTCAGGATTGTAACAAAAGCTGGGATGGGTGACAGAGTACCTGACAGTAAACAAAAAATTCACCTGGCCAATTATTACTGATATATGGGTATCCATAATTTGGTGTATACATTCCTATAATCGATACCAAAAAAAAAGAATAGGTGAGAATGCAGAGAATGGAATATAAAGCCAGAGACAGGACAGTTACTCTAGATCATTCAAAAGAATGTCATCCTTAATTATTTTCTTAATTGTTCACCTTAATCAGGCATTAGTTCCAGAAGACAATAATAAACATGATTTATTTCTTCTCCCTGCTCATACCCTTTACCTTCTTAGGTTTCTGGGAAATAGGAGAATTTTCCTTCCTATTATGATATACCTTTGAATGCTAAGACATTCAATGATCCAAACCCATATATTCAATTTGGATCCTCCACTCAACCCTTATTAACATTTTAGGTACCAGGTATTTCAAATTGCCTGATTACCCAGGATTATTGTAGCCAAGGGAGGCTGGTGAAAGATGCAGAAACATTTTTAAATATACTTACTTAAAATAAAAGAATATGCCAAGAGAAATCAAAAGTGATGCAATTGAAAGACCATGCCCGATGATGGCCAGATAATACAAATTCAGGGCTGTCTGCAATAAAGTAACAAAATAAAAAACACATTATGAGCAAAACAAAAATACACTTGATAAAAGCACACCCCAGCAGACCTTTGTTACACATAGAACAACTGTAATAGATTAAGAAAATGAAAAATATTATAGATCAATAGTGAGTCAGCTCTAGAGGTCCTGTGATTAACTCTAAGAGGATCCTAAGCCATTGAAGATTCTCTCTCCATATGGCACGTAACATTAGTAGCAGTCATGTTTAATACCCATTGTATATCAGTTAATGCATCATTTTTTAATAGACACTCCTAAGTTTTTTCTGTGCATTTACGTAGTCCTAGCTATTTACGTTACTCTGCTAGGAACATTCATGGCTAAAGGTTGATTCATCCAATAATGCTGCTCCTCTGCAAAGCAGAAAATAATGGTTTGGAGTTGCATTTATGTAATCCTTTCACGTGGAACACTTGTAGGAGTGGGTTTTTCTAAGCATTTCTAAGCATTTGAAAGACATTTCCTTCCAAATAGGGCCTACATTTGCCATGTTAGAACTTCAGCTTTCAATCAGCATCCCAGGAAGAGCATGAAATAAATTAATGATAACTCAAAAATAGCTGCGATTAAACTTCTGTCTTAAATCTATCTTCAGCAAGCTAAATTAAAGAACTTTGAAAAATTAGGCAGTAAAGAAAACAAACACTTATAAAGAGCAGTTTAAGGAATAGTTGGCAACATATGATGTATCCTCATTAATAATCTGAAGTAAGCAGCACATTAAACACTACCGCCACTTTGAATTTACCTAATGTTTTCCAGGCAAGATTATCAATGTACAAACATCCAGTTATTGAATTTAGCCTCAGAAAAACACCTATGATGCAGTAAGTCTTCTTACCCCCATTTTGCGTAAATGGAAATGCAGGCATAGAGGGAAAAATCCTCTCCACCTGCATACAACCCAAATAACTGGGTTCTGTGTGAGGAATTGAGATGAGAAATCAACTCCCCCAACCAAGACTAGGGCATCGGACTATAGTACAGATTCTTGACTTCCACAGACTTAATTAAAACCTTTGGCCTAGAATATCCACATTGGGACAGTTGTGTAGGATGTTAAAGCTACAGGACCTATGTAAATAGATTCTGTGTGGTCTACTAACATCCCCATTGAACAAGACAAGGATGCATAGTCCTACATGATGACATTTCTTTATTTTTACTCTTTTTTAAAATAATGTAGGAAATTCAATTCAAAACAACATTAAAAGTATGTTATGGCTGCAAAATGAAGCACTCTGAAATTGGAAGTGTCAAAACTAAAGTTATCCATGCAACTTTAACTCTGGTGACAGCACTAAATTATATGATGGCATGCTGGTCTAAAAATGGTTAAGTCCGAATCCAGCCCTTTGAGTCTGCTTAGCCTGCTTTCCTCTCTTGTTGCCTCTCTTGTTGCTGTCCCCCCTTCTAAACACATTGTAAGAACACATATGGGAATTAAGTGGCTATGAAAAAACTAGTATATTAATGACTGACAATTTTGCTGGTATTTGAGGTTTCATCAAGACTGTTACAAACTTTTCAAATGAGCTTCCTATCCATGGTAACGTGCACTCCTTTCCTACCTTTACTTTTTCATGTGTACGGAGATTACACTGGGTGTAGTTTGTCCACGTTCTGTTGCTTTCGGGATGTCTAAACCAGTTTCCATTTTGATCACAAATCTTTGTCACTTTTTCTTTAGCCAGCCAAAATGGGGAAGAAAAAGCAAGCAAAAAAATAGTCAATACTCAATGTCTGTTTCTCCATCTCTAGTATTTCTTAGCCTATAAAAACTAGCAAAGTACAGACAGATTTATTAGTGTGAACAGAGAGCTTTCTTACATTAATATGAATTCTGAGAACCTCATAGCCATTGTATTTGCTTGGCAAGGGCAAGCAAATAAAAATATCCTCCCATCCTTCAATCTAGTTACTCTAAAACTATATCACACAAACTATTAGAGAACTAGATGGCATGATAAGAAGATGTAAAGGTCTTATCTGACAGTCAGGGATCCAAATTAAAATCTGACATTTCAGTCTAATAAATTAGAATTGGAGAGGAAAGAAAATGTCATGAGAGATATTGCTTATAATGTTGACAGTCACTGAAGGAATTGCTTTATCTGTGAACGCTTTACTGCCAACACCTAGCCAAATACTCCCAGGCATGAAATGGCACTGGGAGATCCCAAACGCAGCAGAATCACTCAGGTTGATGTCATTCTCATGACCACAGAGGGCATGTTTCAATTAAGAAAATAGGTCAAGGTTGACCATGGGGGAAAAGTAGTTAACTGTGACCAGCTGAATTGAGGTAAAAGGTATTAACATGTGTCTACACTAGGGAAACATTCTGGGTTAACTAACACATGTTAACAAACCTTGCGCTACCCTCAACTTATTTTTCTAACCTATACAGGCTCACAGGAGCAATTATCAGTGTGGTGGTGCAGTGGGGAGTGTCCTGCCAGTGGGTCTGTGTGGTCAGTGGACCTGGGCAAGGAGCGGGTGCATACAACCAGTAGGTGTGCAATAACATGGAACCTTTTGTAGTAGCAGCTGCCGAGGAGCTGAGCCACTGATCTGTGCTTGGTGGTTAGAGCAAGAAGAAGATTAAATCACCCCCACATACCATTTAGCCTAACAAACCTGGCATACAGGTCCATACACATTTACCTGATGGGTTAAAGTCCTGAAAGTAGTCAGGACAGCGTTGTACTGATACGGTTCCTGCTGCAACATCATTCCAACACAACCAACCATCCCATGTTCTATTACAGTAAGGACCTGCACAAATATAGAGAAATCAGATGATAAAGTCTGGATTCTGCATTCACAAAAGCCTTACAATAATTAGATGTAAAATCTGAAAGAAAGCATATAAACCAAATAATTTCTCTAACAGTTATCAGTTAATAAGATCTCTTATGTGTAGTTTTTAATTCTTCAACACAGAACATAAATATTTCAATCAAAAGCAACCTTCTTTTCTTGAATAAAAAGCTTTAAACAATGATTTGGAATGAGCTTTTAAAGGATGAAGTAAAATCTTAGCCAAAATATTTTAATTAAAACTCCATCTGATCCGATGATAAGAAGAGTACCTTTATTTGTATGTGCATTTCTTTCATTAAGATGTATTTAAAATGTGTCATCATTCACCATAATTGTGACTACAAAGGCCTAATCTGCACTTTATACTCAATGCCAGAGCTACGCAGTGTATTACATAGTCACAGTCCTGAGACACAAGTGACTGAACTAACCAGTTAAAATCAAAATAGTCTATGTTAGGATAAAGAACAAACTTGTAAAGACCATTTCCTTGCTCTTATTTACACAGCAGAGCTATACAATATGCCCATAGCCATGTGGAAGGCACAGATCTGTAAGAGTTATGTTTATTTTTAAACTGCATAAACATTTGTCTTGACCATAGATGATAATTTAATCAGGAGAAAAAAAATCAGTGTAAAATCTCTCTTCTCTCACCTTCTAAGATTCCAATATTTTTAAAAAAAGATTTAAAAAGGGAAAGTGAATAATTTCCTCTTCAATATTTTCATGAGTTTCTGTAAGCTTTTTGTGTCAAAAGTGGGTTACTATTTAAAAGGCAAAGAATATTTCTAGGACCCAGAAGTTAGAGGAAAGCAAGGATGGTCCAATATGTGAACATTTCCAGTTAAGTATTTACATCACCTATTTAACATGCAGATGCTTTCAGTTTTCATAGGCACATGAAACATCTGGTCCAGAGGGATGGAAGTACCTATAATAGCTATAGGTGGATAAACTTTCTTCATTTTTGTCTGGGTTGGAATTGAATATTTTAGTTATCCATATTTATAAATAAAGCATTAGGTCTGTAGGCAGTAGTGTTTTGGGGTAGCTAACATACTACAGGACCTTTCTCTACCAATTAAATATTCTTCCTCACTGCTAAGAAAAATCACATGCTTGTCTTCCTGAAAGTTACAGAAATGCAAGTCGTATTCTAGATAAAAGAAGTTACTAATAAGACAAGGAAGGAGGAGAACTTTAAAGTTCCTTAGTGAAACAATTCAAATCTACTGTCTTCTTCCTCTACGTACTGCTTCTTCGATTATAAGTTCTCTGGGGTAGGGGCCATCCATCCACCTTTCTTTCTTTCTTGTTCTGTGTTTGGATATCATCGAGCACAACAGGGCTCTAGTCCATTAGTCCTAGGCACTATGGTAACTCAAATAATAAATAATAAGAAAAACCATTTACCTTCTTTACTATGAATAGGATCTTGCGTAATTTTCTGATAGCATTCATACTGTGCTGTCATAATTTTATTCCTAGTCACACTCAGCTGAGTGGAGTCTTCTGTCACATTCTGATTCTTCTCATTTGGTATCGCAATGGCAAAAAACTAGGAAAAAAATTAGATTTAAAATATATATATTTTGGAATGTTATCATTGTTTTCACAGCACTTTTTTCTGTAACTGCTACAGTGGAACTTTTGGTTTTCAGGTTCGCATGCTGACATATAAGGAGCTTGCAATTATTATTATTCTTAGCACAATTTCACCAAAAAGTAGCCATTAGAGCTCTTTACAGACAAGCTGATTTTCCTCCTGTTCATTTGGTGAGTGTTCTTACTGTTAAATCAAAATAAAATGCCCCTGCCTGAGGGCAGAAGTGATGATCTGACATGATAAGACTTCAGTTGATAATGGAAGAGAATAAAATGTATTGACAAAATCAGAAGAAGATAAAGGGTTTTTTACAAAGCCCATTGTAGTAAATTGAAGGGTGAATACTGATTTTGAAGGAATTTGGATCAAGCCCCAAAGGATTTTCTATGAAACAAGACTTACTAATTGAAGTTATTGGGGCTTTTGATTTGTTTTAGGGCTGTTTGGTTTCCTCTATAATTTCATAAAGCATAAAACAAACCACACCACAACAGTGAGGTCAAAGGAAATGGGTGATTAATGTGTTACTTAGTCATATGGAGGACACATTATTCTGAGCTTATGAAAATAAGGAGAGTCAGACTGAAGACTGACAATGAAAAGTTTTTCACTGACCATTGCGTACTTATTGGCCTTAGAAATCTATCAGTCTGTCTGTCTATCATGAGTTCCATCTGCTCTAGTTGAACTCAATGGAAGTTTTCCCATTGACATGAATGGGTATAAGGCGACAAGGTCAGAACCCATCACTGCTGTAAAACCCATTGCTAGCAGAGAACACAACTGTGATCAATGGCAGGAAAGGATTTCAAACTTCTGTATGTCCCCTAGTTACTACACAGGCATTAAAAGCAGGATATACTGTTAAAGGGAATTGTCCTTTACTGGAGATTTACATTAGAGCAAGACAAGAATTTCTATTCTGTATTTCCATATTTGCCAGAGAAGTCAAGATCTGTGTCACACCTCTGAAAACTGAAAGTGGAATTACATGCTAAAAAAATGTTAAAACTCACCATGGTAACTGACAAGAGGAGCAGCAAATGAATGATCCAATTTGTCTCCATCATTAAGTCTGAATTTTTTTGTTATGCTACAGTTCAACAAGATCAAGCTGCAATGGAAAAGTTGTAAGCAAAATAGAAATAATTCATATAATTCAAAATCTACTGAAAACTGACAAAAACGGCTGCCATTTTTCTTTATAATTCACTACAATCAATATATCTAGAGCCCAGTTGTGACCCCATTTCCATGGCTACAACTCCTATCACTCAGGTGGTGCAAAGGGGCTGTAATCCACAGCAGATCAGCAGCAGACAATTCCCATGACATGGGGGAACTCCGTGCTAGTGTATCTGTGTTGCTATTTGGCCCCGCACCTCTGCCTCCACCTCCTCCCAACATAAGGGCTGTGTTGGGCTGGGGAAGAGGGCATGGCAGAGCTATGCTACACCAATCCTCCGCTGGGGAGATCTATTAAGGACCCTCCATCAATGGTGGAAATTAGATAAGCCTGATAGAGGTATCAGGACCAGAGCTGGTTCTCAAATTCAGGGAGCTGGAACTGGTGCTGGTTCCCCGAAGACTCTCTGTGGCTAAAAAGAGCTCTGGTGCAGGACAGAATCTGCCCCATTACACTATAGGTCATTAAACATGTAGTAAATTCTGGCTACACACCAGGGTTGAAGCCCATGTGTTAAGTAAAACCGCAGTTTAGTTTATATGAGCATTTAACTGGCATGTTTAGAAAGGAAATTCCACTCCTTCCTTCCTTTTACTTCTGTGACACTGATGGAAAAACTGATCCATAAGCAGCAACTTTAGGCTAATGCTATAGCTTCCCAGGGATGAGGGGAGTCAATGGAGGGATTAACAGTGAGCTGTAAAATAGCTTTCGTATCTGCCGATAGTTGGACATTCCTAAATATGGAAATATCAGATCTTTGTGGAACTCTTGTAACATCTCTCCCATAAACGTAACAATGTCTTTCCATTACCCAGCAAGAGAATAAATGAATAAATAATTAAATAAATGAAATTCTGTGTTTTGTTCCCTGTCAGTAGATGTATACAGTGTGGGAACAGGATACCACTTTACATGTAACAAATGCATTGCAAATGTATTTCTGAACACTTTAAAAAATAAGTTCAGCTATTCCAATGGCACCTTTCCACATTACAATGCAGATTGTTATATGAATGAATCTTTGGACATTGAGGTACAAATTCGTAAACACCCCCCAAAAGGCACAAAATCTCTTTCAAGCCACGTACATAGACATAATTGATCCTCCTGTGGGAAACCCTGTGGAAAGGGGTTTACCAGAGGAAATTTCTGAGAGGTTCCCCTTGCAATGATTTGCTCCTCATTGTTCCATTGTGGAGTTGGATTTGCTCCCCACAAATCAGACCACAGGGCTCAAACCCCCTTCCCCTCAGACTCTGTAGATATAGGGGATAAGTGGAAAGACAGGACCAACCACACAAAGACCTATACCTCCCAATAGGGTCCACAGCCCACACCTTTCCTGGTGCTCTAGTACGTGCTCTAATAACCTCTCTTAAGGAGGGAGCCCTACCAAGAAGATGATCCAGCAGAAAGATAATTCAGTCTGGGCCATATTACAGTATTTTAGGGAATAACATGCCCCCTCCCCCCCCCCGACTCCAGATGTCTGTGTAGATCTCTGGACTTATGGAGCATCCTCAACAGAGTTCCCCTGAAGTGGGTGCTGCCTAGAGATGTCTAAGACCTTCCACCTCTTCTACATGGAAGGCATGATCCATGCACTGAGGGGACCTTCCAAATGTTGATCTGGGGGATATGATCAGGCCTGACTTTTCTAAATTAACATGTTTTACTATATTAGCATTCATTACCATTAATAGTAATAGTAATCCACAGTTCTGTAGGACTGAGCTTTAGGTTGTGGATGATACTACCAGAGCTACTCTATCATTACTTAAGCCACAAAAATCATATTCAAGATATTGCAGGTTTAACTGATGCTGAAGGAGGAGCACTGTTGTGAGCCAATTACTTACATGCAAAGATGTGTCCAGATTCCAACCACATTTTCGTTTGGGTCATACTCACTCTTGTCTCAGATATTTTCTTATCCTGTAGTCATATCCTACAAGAGATTGATTGGTGACAATAAGCAAACAATTGAGCGTACCTTGACCAACGGGGGTCATTTCACACAAAATCCATCAAACACAAAACATAAACTTATATACATAATGATGATGGTAAGCAAGAAGTCTGCCTGTCTTTTATATTTTGTACAATGCCTAGTACAGTGGGGGCCTTGACCACTTGGTACTATTGTAATACAAATAATTGCTAAAGATTCTTACTTTGTGGGATGTAGAGTTTGTTTAATTCTCAGGTTTTAACAAAGTCTGAAGGGGCCCATTTAGGCCTGGTATAAGGTTAAAGACACTTACAGTTGTGCCTGTTTATACCAGGCATGAATTTGGCCCAATATCTTTCTCTCTATCTTCTACTGTTAGTAGGTAACCCTCCTGAGGTCTCTTCCAACCCTAATCGTCTATGATTCTATGATTCTATTTAGAAATATGGTCACCCTTGTTAGTGTACTTGGAGTAGGAGGGCTCCCTAGCCAGAAGCTTTACCAGATTCTTCAAATATTAACCTGATCCTGAATAAGTAATAAGTAATGTAAGATGTAGTATGTTATCATTTTGTTGTAACTTTGCCTTAATAAAAAGTTCAAACATATTCTTGAAAGTGGGTCCTTGCAGAGACCATTATCTGATATACAGACTTGGAAGAAGTATTGTTGAGTTAGTTCCTAACCAGTCTGTTTGTAAAAGGAACATTTATCAGTACATGTGTATTGAGCAAAGCACGATATGATCCCAATGGTAATGGAGACTTTTGATTGTTAGACTTCAAGAGCCCATTGCCTCTCAGGTTACCCACATACAATCTTTGTGACCAGGGCACAGAGCTGAGAGAAAGCAGACAGCTTTGGGCTGTGAGGGAGGAAAGACTTTTCTGCACGACGATGTTCCAGGTATACAGCATATATTCTACTTTGTATTTGAGGGTAGTGCTAATCTAGAGAAAACACTATATTTGTATAGGCCAGTTTATTTTCAGTATCTCACATTATGATTTTTTTCTTTATTTATGCACAGCTACAAGTCAAATATTACGCTGGTGGGAATTTGAACCAGAAATCAACATTTGAAAAACATATGGACTATTGCCATAAATTGCAATAAATGTTCTTCACAATGAATTATTTGACCAGTTGTAGTTAAAAGAACCTAAACTGGAGCTGGAAAAATAAGCTGTTGTTTTGGACTGTCACATTCAGATAAAAAGAAAGGTCTCTGGACTCATAGAGAAGACAGATCAAGTAGTAATTAATTACCTGGGCACAAGCTCATAACACCGAAGGCTGTTGTCTTTTCCTCTCCAAACGATGACATATTAGTGGTAGGAAGCCCCATTTTGTTCTCAAGAACAGTGAGCCAAATGGGGTGCCAGGCACTGTTATATATTATAGGGCATGCAAGTCTAATTTAGGATTTTGTTTGCCTATTTACTGATGATATGCATGAATCTGAAATTTCAATAATTTTCTCTATAACAGTCCCTAAATAGTTTTCCAAAACATATTCTTGCTGACTGATAGATTTAGCATGTAGAGTCAAATAATGCAATCAGATATACCTGTGTACCTCCATTCACTTCAGAGAGGTTGTACAGTGTACATAAAGACAGAATTTGGCTGTTTTGATTCAGGGTGCAAGACTATTTACATTTAACAATATTGGCCACACACTAGCCCAGTTACTTAAATGAGGCACACCTTTTGTGGGTAATGGCTTTGTAAGCATCTCATATCAACTCTTCCAGGGGCATGCTCAAACTCTGAGTTCCTAATTCCTCTTAGTAGACAAGAGATGAGCTCATGTCTGCAATGCTGTGAGTGCTTCCTACACAGTGTCCCCAAAGTTGTTAATGTACATTCAAATTTATACCTAAGAAAAGAAAGTATCCTCTTAGAGATGACTGTAATTGCAAAATGTGTAGGTGAGGTTCATGTAGTATACATTTGGATTTCAGTAGAGCATTTCCTACATCATCTTATGAATTCATTAGTTCAAAATTTATTCTATTTGATTTGGATAAGAACTGCCATGTAGACTAAAAACTGGCTGTAGGACGAACAGCAGTTCATAGAATTAGAGTTGAGGTGGTTTTTGAGATATAGCTGATATAAATGTTGAACCCTATTTTAACAACCCTACCCTAGTTTAGTTATCTGAAAACCACAAATGGAATTCACAGATGATTCTAAGTTGGAAGGTGTTGAGAGCAAAAGTAAGGAAACAAACTACAAGAGTATCTGTGGAAAGAAGATTTAACTTGAGAAAGATTCAGGATAATACATTTAGGGGAATATAATCAGATACAAAAAGATATTTAATGGCAGAGAAATACAGAAAGCATTAACGCTGAAAGAAATCTAAGAATAACAGTGTAAAAAAATATTCCCACAGTGGAAGTCTTACTCTACAGTAAAACTGCAAGCAGTTAAAGATGTTCATAGAGGCAGTTATTTTGCAATGCAAATGTGGCTGTTTTGTGGGGGGGGAGGGAGAGAAGGTGTTTTGTTTTGGTTTTTAAATAGTGTCCTCTATCACTATCAGATCTAGGATAACAACATTCCAGTGATACTTACAAACTTTAAGAGATTTGAATGAGAATCGTTTTAAAATAAATTTAAAACAGTTTATTTCTAGATTCCCAGGCCGGAAGGGACCGTTGAGATAATCTAATCTAAAACTGGGTATAAATCTTCCCCAAAATAATTTCTGGAGCATATCTTTTACAAAAAACATGCAATCTTGACTTTAAAATGTTCAGTAATGGAGAATCCACCCCAACCTTTGTTACGTTGTTCCAATGATTAATTACACTCACTGTTAAAACATTTATGCCTTATTTCCGGTCTAAATATATCTAGCTTCAATTTTCAGCCATTGGATCACGTTATAACTTTCTCTGCTAGGCTGAAGAGTCCATTATTAAAAATTTGTTCCCCATGCAGATACTTATAGACTGTGCTGAAGTCACCCCTTAAACTTCTCTTTGTTAAGTTAAATAAAAGGCTCCCCAGCTGGACTTCATGTATGAAGTACGGCAGTCAGGCAACTGCCCGGATTCCCCACTTCCCTTCATCAAGATGGAATACTGAAATGCATCGTGTGAGACAAAGTCCAACCAGGGAGTCTGCAGATAAGAGGAGAATGGGGCATGAGATACCCAAACTACTTCTCCCATCTGTCTACTGGCTGTAACTGGCAACTCTGTAATGAGAGAAGATGAGTATTATTACACGGGTTCAGATTAACATGAGCTTTTAAAAAGTCCATCAAAAATGCAACTTGATAGAAACATGGTGGAAGCCCATTCACTGAGTCCCCAGCTCTTCCCTCACACCTCTATGTGCTGGTGACGGATTCAACAAGACAACCAATGGGTCATCAGTTTACACATTAGATATTGAAGGTAAGTGTGATTTAAGGTATTAATTGATACAAAGTAACAGTTCTTTCTGTCTTAAGTATTCTCTAAAATAAAGTCACTAGAACTAGCATAGGAAATTTCAACAGTAAATCAGTTCTTCAAATATCACACTTATATTTTACTTTTATTGCCTATTGTACAGAATACGGGATAACTTAACCATATGAACTGCATGTTTCTTCTGTTTACTACATTCCTCTTAGCCAAATTATTTCTATTTTTTCTATTATTTCCATTGCCTTTGTAGCATTTGTCATTGCCAGCAGTGACATCTACTGCAGAAGGCAGAGTTCCACAACTGTAGAATGAAGTGAGCCAAAAGAGTCACTCATAAAGCTTTAACAGATGTTTTTTCCCCCTTCCACTCCTGCTTTCTCCACAAAGCCATCCTGCCTGCACCAACAGCTGTTTCTGCTTTTACTCTTTTCCCTTCCTCTCAAGAGTAAATGCCCTCCTGACTGAACTCCAGAAAGGTACCATTTTAACACCAGAGCAAAGGGAGAATACAGCCAGAAATATCAGGGCTTGAACTTGTATCCTCTGCATAGCTAGCACAAAAGAGGAAACAGGCCTGGCACATCTCTCTCTCTCTCTCTCAGATTTTACAGAATGAATGATTTAAGCTTCATTTAGCGTTGGAGCCATCAGGAAAATCTGCAACACTGGATTTACAGCTGTATATGCAAACGTCTGTTTGAGAAATTGAAGTGGATGTTTTATACAACACTCTGTCATACAGAGGGAATACTTCCTGATTTTGATTGGTTGGAATTACCCTGAATAATCACTGTTCTCACAATATTTTGTTATCTCTCTTTCTGTTTAGAATCAGGGAGTGAGGAGGCATAGGACTCAAAACATTTTCAAATCTCAGGCAAGCTTTTAGTTTGGCTTTTAGGCAAAGGACCAAGCTGGAAATGATCCGAACTTTTTTCATGCATCCCTAATTCAGATGGCCTGCAAGGATCTTTTGACAGTTTGAGGAAGTCTCAGATCAAAATCATGTTCCAAATGGAACAGCACATAGGGCTCAATCCTGGCAGGTGCTAATTACCCTCATTTACTGTTGATTTCTGGAGCACTCTGCACCTTAGAGGAGGAGGTCCATAATAACTCCTAATTAAAAAGCTTGATTAGCAATGATACTAAATAAATTTCAGATTCATTGACAAAGTTGAAGGAGGACTGCAAAGTGTACAGGGCAGCTGCAGTTCAATTTGGAAATACTTTTAATCTGATAAATGACTTTTCAGTCTTTGCGGGATTGAAACCCCCTTTACAGAGTTTGAACGAGGGACATCAAGATCCATTGTCAATAACACTACCCTGACCACAGTTAGCAGTTTGTCAAACTGGGTTTTAGCCAGCCCTCTAACAATTAGAGGGAAACCCCATTATAGCTACCTGATTATTAACATGTTACATCTGAGCAGCATATTTTCAGGTCACTAGAATTCCCTTTTCAACACTGCTTTGAATTAAGTCACAGGTAACAGGACTCTGAGAGTCCCAAGACAAGTGAGGCAGCAATTCAGAAGTGTTTTGCCGGCATCATCGCACAGA